GTTGTTGAATTAGACTGTAGATTAGCAGTTATTCCTACAAATTCAAGCAAAATAAAAAGTAATGGAGATGCGGATACAGGTTTTTCGATACACTTTCGACCCTAAGTGGAGAAAAAATCTGAACTAACATCATTTCCTTGAAAAAAATCCTTGAATTTCGCATTAGATTTAAAATCCAGGGCCAGAACTAACCAAGTTAACCGAAAAATGGTACCCCCAAAGCAAGGATTTGCCGGTGCTTCCAGCTAACTTTTCATACCTGAGGACTGGGATAATTTATCATAAAACATTAATCAAACCTCAAAATGTTCTCTTCAACATCGACACCACCAGCAACCATTTGTTCGATTATTGTTGTGTGCGCATTTTCCGGTAAAACATCGCGTCCGACCAAAGGAAGAATTTGCGCCAGGCCGAGATCACCTGCACGTACCCAAGGACTTTCGGATATTTCTTTCAAGCTTGCACGCTTTTTCACATCCTTTACCAACATTCTCGAGATAAGACTGCAAAATGTAATTCTTTTTTCAACAGAATTAAATACTATAACGTTCGGCAGCAGCATAACATCCCATCATAGATTCCAAAAAATACTCTTCGGATTCATAAGAAAAACACTAAAAATGCCGAGATTTATAATGTTGAGCCTCAAAATTAGTGAGCTATCGCCAAATCTTGCCGAGGGCTACTTCCCTAAATCCCTAATGGAAAAAGTAAAAGAAAAAAGTGTCACCGGAAGCGTAAGACAAAAATTTACTGTCGAGCGTGTGGTGAAAGGCTGTCCGGCAATGAATATTTGCAATCCAGTATCTTCGTCAATGTCTCCGAATCATTCGCTTCTTGAAACGGTAAACGACCACATAATAACATATATAATATCACTCCTAATGACCAAACATCTGTAAATCACGCAAAAAAAAGAATATCAATCGTGCCTTTAACAGAGCAAGCCTGTGCTTGAGCTTTTATCAAAACCTCATTCACACCCAAAGGCGGTGAGAGGCGGAAGCACTCGGAAGTATTCAAAGAGCCGTAAGTGCCAGTAGCAACTAAATGTTGGCAAGACTGTCGATGGCTCCCTCTTTTGAGGATTGCTTAGAAGCAATCTGAAAGCGAGTTTGACCCGCCGACAAGCGTCAACATTAAGTCGATTGTAGCAACCAGGTTGACCTTGGAAGCCTAAATTTTAATTTCAATTTTAGTTAGTATGTGTTTATGTAAGATGTATGGAACTAAAAAAGGAAATGTGAATAAGTTAAGATTATAATGACGAAGGCGCGATAGATTATAGCATGAAAGAACAGTAAGAGAAAAGAAGGTAAGAGTGAGATAAAACGTTTCGATTCTTTAATTTACCATCGAAATGAATGAAATAATCGCAGATAAAAGAGCTTGCAAACTGATTTTATTTTTCTCATACTAATTTTATTTTTCCCGCACAATTTTCCATTTTCTCGAATAAAAGAAAATGTAGAAGTTTGAAAAATGTTTCTTGTAGATTCAAACAAAAACTTACCAACGGCTGGTGCATCATAAGCATCTCCCAGCAATATTTCTGGAGCTGAATAAGCTAAACTGCCACATGCTGTTTCAAGTTGCTCGCCTGGGGTGAATTTATTGCTAAATCCAAAATCCGTTAATTTGACCATTCCCAAGCGCTCGAAAAACACAACATTCTCGGGCTGCAAAAATACTGCACCATTAATGGTCATAATTTTCTTTTTTTTTATTTTTTGAGTTCCTTCGTTCAAGAAAAAAAGAAACTGAAATCACAATTTCAATCACAAAAAATTTGTTAAATATTTTAAAAAAATTTTTTTACAAGTTGCGGCATTAATTAAACATCATATGAGACGGATTTTCTCACTAGCAAGAAACTATCAGATCGATCAGCTGTTATTATCGATTGCCTCTCTTTCTCTCTTTCACTCTGTACCCCTTCGTCCCGCCATTCCTAACTGCATAATGAGTCCTATTTTTATACTGCTTTAGTCATTCCATAGTTACCAAATACTAAGTGCTGAGATATTACTATTAGGGGTAAACAAAATTATAATTATAATACAGAATTATATTCAAAGCATGCAGAAAATATTAAAGAATGACACTTATAAATGAAAATTAATAATTTAGCCGAGATTAAGACGTATCGGTTCATCAAGCTGCATACTTCTTAATTCAGCCTCACCACTGAATTTTGTCAATACAACGATTGTGGCATAAAAAAAAGTGAGAGATTAAAACGCTAAAAGCAAAATCCAACTACGGGAAAGGGTATGAAAACAATACTGAGCTACATTTTCGTCAGTTTCTCTATCACTTTTGCTCAATCCCAATTTTTCTGGCGTAATTCAAAAGTTATGTTTTATTTAAAAACCTAAAACCTGTATATAGCTTCAAAAATAAATGTGGATAAATGTGTTTAACATGAAATACGTAAAAAATGAAGACGAGATTGAAGGAGGAAAACACTAGCCAATTGAAAAAGCTTCTATTACAGACGGTGAAAAGCTTTGGGGGAAGTGCAGCTAAAGAAAACTCCATTCCAAAACAATGCAAAGCTGTTAAAAAGATTATCAAAAGCGTTAGATCTAAAACTGAACTCGAACTTCAACGCTGAACCATCAAAAAAAAAACCTTTAAATCGCGATGTACAACATGTAACTGATGACAGTAGTCTATTGCTTTTATAATTTGACAAAAATACTGCTGCGCCTCAGGCTCTGGACAGCCCTGAAAATAGGCCGAATTATCACAACAAAAATGTCGTTCATTTTTCTTGCAACACAATGACGTTATTTATATGTCTAAGTCAGCAAATTTCGCAAAAAAAAAGAAAAAATTACAAAACCCTGTCGGCGTTTTTCATGATGAAATCGTACATATCATAATCTCCTAATTCGAGAATTAGAAACAATTTTGTTTGTGTGTCAATCACTTCATACAGGCGAACAATGTTCGGATGCTGCACCAATTTCATACACCGAACCTGAAAAGTAGCAAAACTGTACAACCCAAAAATCAATTTCAAGAACTTTTCTGGCCTTCATTGCCGTAAGAAAAACCTATTCAGAACTGCCCTCTCTAATGCACTCGTCAGCTGTTGGTTAAAATAAATTAGTCTACTAATAAACAAGAAAATGATAAGCAGACAAAGAAAAAACGTAAAAGGAGGAAGTAAATAAGACGGAATAAGGAATGTTTCGGTTCATTAAGTCGTATATTATCGATGCTTTCCTTTCCGTTACTGATGTAGCAATTGCTAACTTTTCCACTCTGCGTTTTTCACGTCAAAATAATTCAGTTCAAACATTCAGACGAATTCTTTTGCCGCACATGTGACACTTTCAATGTTAGCTCAACACAACGTGATAACTATACGGTTCGATCATCCGTTGCCACTCATTCTCTTCACACGATGGGCCGAGATGCTCTTTCAAATATACCTAGAAACTTGATGCAAGACAGAGGAATCGCAGTGCTTCAGTGGAGATGTGCTGCAACTTGCTGACACCTACCACATGCTTTCCCATGGCTTGTTGCAATTTGCCTCCAATAACCGTCGTGTTCTCCATGGGTCATACCGGCTATATTTTACCATACATAAGTGAAGCGTGCCTGATAAATTAATTTACAAAACTGTACTGTCACAAAAAAACCTACTTCTTTCATCAAGTGCGATGCCATGGACGAGTCAAACTTCGTTTTGTCGATAACTTTCACGGCCACCTAAAAAGAAATTTCCTCTGTATTTCACCGATTCGCCGAAGAAACTCAAATTTTCAGTAAAAAGTTAAGGCGTGTTATTCTTATCATTATTATCATCATCACTATTACTACTACTATTAATATTACTGCTATAATATTGCTACTATTATCAACATCGCTATTTTTTGTTAATATCACTATTATCGTTAATGCTACTATCATTATCACCATGATTATCAATATTACTGTTATTAATATTACTGCTATTATTACTATTATGATTACTGCTGCTATTATTACTACTGGTATTATTGATGTTACTATTACTAGATTAAATATCAGGAAAAAAGAAAAAAAAAAAGCTTTTGCTGCTTCCATAATGACGAAACGTTCCTCCTCCCCTCTGCTGGTGTTTCCTCCGATTTTTCCTGGAAATAGCAATAAAAAACGGGTACCTTTTCACCGGTGAAGACATGATTTGCAAGTTTGACGACGGCGAAGTGGCCCTTGCCGATGGTCTTCTGCAAATCGTAGAGGCCAGCGATGCGTGCATCGTGGATGCTCAGCGAGGTTTTGCGCTGTACCGGCGGTGGGAACTGCGAGGACGACTTCTCTGCCATTTTCTCCCCCTCTCTTTGTCACTTTCTGTACAATTGCATTAGCATTAGTAGTAGTAGTATTGGTAACTCAATGATCCCCCGCAGGCGGAATGCGCAAAAGCGAGTCTAAAATTGAATGGAATTAAACTAATTAGTGACGTCACATATAAAAACTGTACGCATTCTGAGTAAAACCTCAAAAATGAATGATATTTTGGTGGAAGATGAGGTAAGAGGGGCAATATCTCGGACAATGGTCATCTGTTACTCGGGCAACAACTTTATTTTTACGAGGAACGAGGGTGATATCTCGGACAATGGTCATCTGTTACTCGGAAAACAACTTAGGGAAGCCGACAATAGAGATTCTCCGATGAGAAGTGAGGGACTTCTGAAGAAAGCATCTCACAAGTAGAATTTTTGCATATTTCTCTGTGAGAGAGAGGCAAACGATAAAGCGCTTATTTATTGCAGTTAGTAACTTTTAAGCTATAGTTCGGTCTGTGTATACAGCTAAGGGATGAAACACAGAGACTGCGTCATAAAATGTCTTCATGCACACGACACATTCAAGTGAAATCCTTCCATTCTTCTATTTCTGCACTTATGCAAATCAAATTCACCGAGCGCCGAGATCCACTCGGGAACAGCTGGTGATATCAGGGATATCTCGAAACGGCTAAAGGGTGAAAAAACAGTTGCGAGCTATAAATACTTTCAGGAGACGGAACATGAATGTTCGCCAGCAAGCTGACCACCAGGTGATGAAGCACTGGTCAAAGCAACCGTAGGAAAGTTGGCAGCTGATCTATGCAGTACAAGGAATTAACTGCTTTTCCAGGTATGATGTGTGAATGCATCCTGAAGTACTTGGCGAAGTAGTACCAATCTCTGGCAAGACAGCTGTTGATGGTTCCTTTTTCTGTGTATTGCTTAGAAGCAGTAAAATAAAATGAAGCATGCTAAATGTATGTCAAATTTTTGATGGGGGAATGACCAAAAATTGCATGTGTATATGAGATGTTAAATGGAAGGGGTGAGAATTAGGTTTTTTAAAGGAAATTGATGAGAACAGAGGTAAAGATTAATAAGAGATAAAGATTCAAGCTGACTCCCTTGGCATATGCCTGTACCAATTTACTACTGCTCGGGAAAAGACCAAAAAAACATCGGTTAGTGATTTGCTGTATTAAAAACAGTTGATTTTGTATTGTTTGTGTATTAGATATTAATGTTCTGTGTCAGAATTAGTTGCTTTTTACTACCGTATGTAATGCATCAATTGTGTTCCTCATGTGCACTGTTTGGTCCTTTTGTCTTGCATTTTATTTCGCAAGTACATGCGGCTTATTAGTAGTTGCGCATAAGGGGTATATAACCTGCGGCGAGAAATAACGCGTTGCATTACCAATTTATCATCGAAATGAATGAACGAATCGTAGAGGGATCAGTTTTGTCCCACTGGGGAAGCAGGACCCGTGATTTCCCCTGTGCACGAAAACAACCTCTGGCTTGTATTGACCTCACACACAGAGAACGATAAGTGGCCACCACCAGCAAGCTCGATCATGCCCCCCCCCCTCTTCCCCTTGAATCCCCCTCCTCGAACACATATGCTTAGTGCGAAAATTCGGGGGACTTATTCAAGGAATCCAAAAAGCTCCTTATTTCGCCTTTTTGCCTCGCCAAGTCAAAAGTGTTCCATTACTCATGGTGCTAATTTTAACGATTCACATTTTACATTTTATGCAATCGCCAAGCAGGACACTCATATACTAGAAGACACACACACACACACACACATACGTACACACACACACATACACACACATACACACATATACATACACATGTCATGCGCTTGGTACATAAGAAGCGAAACACAAAAGTATAGCAAAGACTCACAGTGTTTAAGATCAACGCAGCAGAAATTTAGCACTTTTAATATATAATGCATGCGAAGGAAAAGCCACGAAGCAGGGCTGTTAATAATGGTGCTAGCGAAATTTCCAACGAAATCAGTACGAACGAGTTTCGAGCGGCTAAATTGAAGTTCTTTTCACGGCTAAATAATTAATGACTTGAGAATTAAGGCATACTTTTCACGTTTGTCATGTGTATCTTTTTCAGACAGACACACACACACACATACACACAGACTCGTACAGACAGAAACAGACAGGCAGACAGACTCGTATAGACAGAAACAGACATACAACGACAAACAGGCAATCACTGGAAGTTGGCGGCTTCTCAATCAAGGCTCTAATTGTGAGGTGTGAAAAAATGAAGCAGTGCTAGGTGGGAAGGCGAGAATGTGTGTGTGCTGTGCGTTAAGCAAGCTTGTAATTGCCCGATAAAACAAGTACACTCATTTATCCACCCACAAACAAACACCCTCAACTACTTGTTTACATACACACACAGACAATCCAGTCTCCTGAAACCTTTGGACTTTCGCACCTGGCACTGCGCCAATTTGCCTCGTTGTCTCCCTTGTCTTGTTGGCTTTTCTTTTTCCTCCAACAGTACTTATTTCGGTGAAGGATTTTTGAGTAATTCATATTCCTCGTCTAAATCATCCAAATCGAGAAACTACTGGCTGAGGAGGACAAGTTAGCGACGGCCAAGCGAACCACGGGGCGATGCATGGTCGGCGTCAGCAAGTTGCAGCACATCTCTAATGAGCGATGATTCTATCCAAGGCAAGGACAAAGGCTGGGCTGGCCATGTGGGGGCATGAATGAGAGACAACAGATGGACTTAAAGCGGATTATTGAATGGTACCCAGGCAATCCATATAGAAGGC